TTAAATAAGAGCTAAACTAATCAGAAACTTTGGAAATTACGTCGTGGATATTCAAAGTGAAAAATAGCATGCTTAGAACTTGACCCGCTTGGATTCATCATATGTTGCAAGCTGTGATGCAGTCATAGAAAGGCCAACCCCCTTCCAGAGAGCCGTTATTCTCTCTTCTAAAGCAATTTTTCTCATTTCCCCTATTGCTCCACTTCTCAAGTTTGGATTCATCTGCAACCGCACCTGAAAAAATAAGAGCGTTAAGTAAGACAAAGATTTTAGATGTTTAGAAAAGCTTTTGAATCTAAATACCTTCAGAACTTCCACAAGGTTGGTCAGCGCAGTTGCAAAGGCACCAGAGAATGCTCCTGATGCAATCTTAACCAAAACACAGCCTGACACAGAGAGAAGGGGAGGGGCAGAAATCTTACCCTGCAAGCCGAGCAAGATCTGAGGAGTTGCTGTAGGTGGAGATCGGAGGAGAGAGAAGATCTGAGATCTGAGATCTGGGAGGGAGAAAAGATGAAGAGTTGCTGTCGGTGGAGTTCGGAGGCAGCGCAACGGTGGAAGCGGAGCGGCAGTGGAAAGGAGGGGGAGGGAGAGGGAGAGAGAGAGATATCTGAGGAGAGAGAGATTGACACCTGAGAAGAGAGAAGTGCAAATGTCACACAGTATCTCAGCCTTCAATGAGCAGTGCATATTGTTTGGGTTTGTCGTGAGTGGGTAGGTGGATGGGTGGGTGGGACGTTGCAGAGAGAGTGAGAGAGGGATTGTTTTGGGCGGGAATGTGAAAATGTCACAAAATATCTCAGCCCTCCATGGTTAAAAACAACTCATCTCAGCCGTTGGATTGAAATGTATCTTTCATACATTTGAAGACATTTTCAAAAAGTCTCTTGCCTTATTATATAGATATATGAATTTGTTGCGCAGACTTAAAATTTTAACATTATGCAATACTAAGTTTGAGAAAAAAAATTTAGCCCCAGCATTTGACATTATTTCACAAAATAAAATAAGACAAATTTCACTTTATCCCCTATGATTTGGGGCGGGTGTAGATTACTCCCAGACGTTCGAATATCACCACATAACCCCTTTGTGATTAATGGGTTGATGTGCATAATTAACACTATGACTGACAGACGTAAAATGACTAATTTGCCCTTGTATATATATATACCCTTGCTTATTATTTCACTCAACAGTCGTGCATTTGAGAAGAGAAAAGTGGAGAGAACTTAGGTTTTGCGATTCAACAAATTAGGGTTTTCAATTAAACAAATTAGGGTTTGAATTGAACAAATTAGTGCTTAGATTTGACAAAGTAGGGCTTCGATTGTTCAATTCGACAAATTAGGGATGCGAAGTTATTGATTTGGAAATTCACGAAGCAAACAAAGCCCAAGAACAAGTTGGAAGGTATTTTTTCGATCATTTCTTTTATTTTGTATTGGATTCGCTTCGATTTGCTCATATATATATATATATATATAATGTTAGTTGATGTAGTTTTTTTTGTTGTATAGTGTGGTCCCCTATGTTTTGTGTATTAGGATTTCTGTGCCTCGACATAAATATAAAAAGTTACTTAATTTTTGTTGATGTTACTCTTTTTTTGTACTGTTAGTGTTTCACTTTTTGTGATGGACACTATGTTCGATAATGTTTTTCATATCCTGTTGCTATTTGCTTTTTTTGTTGTTTGTTGTCATTTTGCTTTCTCTTGAAGTGGGGCTTGCACTGAAAAGGTGAAAATTCCTTCTTGTTTAAAAATTTACTAATATTTAATCAATTATATAAGATTTGTTATGTGTTGTGGTCCTAGTAGAAACATGAATTGGTTTTTTTATGATATATTCTTAGGTATTCTATTACTTTATGCTTGTCATATAGTGTAGGCATAACTATATGTTTGCTTTTGTATTCTCTTTTTGTTTTGTGTGATCTGTTTGAGGATTAGGGATTATTCCTTTTTTGTTTTACATTATGTTGGTTTCATGCATGAATATTTATTTGTTTAGGGTAATGGGTAGTGGTCCCAAAATGTATTTATGGAATTTTTTTTTTTTTTTTCCCCTTTAAGAGTGAATACTGAAATTCATAAATGCTTTTACTTTATGTTGGTTGCATACATGACTATTTGTTTGTTTAGGGTTTAGGGTTCTGGTCCCAAAATGTATTTATGGAAGTTTTTTTTCTTCTTTTGGAGTGAATGTTGAAATGTCAAACAATTTCATTACTGTTGAAATGCACCATAGGGCTATTTTGTGTTTCATCCACATGTTGTTTATGAGGGTGGTAAGGTGAATCAAATAATTAACTATGACCCTAATAAAATGTCCATGTTTGAGTTAAGAGACCTTTATTATGACCTGGTTGGTAGAAAAATGCAAACATAGATATGTATTATACATGGCCTGGTTATGGTTTAGATGTTAGGTTGAAAATAATTAACAGTGATGTTGATATGATGAAAATGCTTGAGGCTTATAAGGGTTTGGATTATGTAGTAGTTTATGTAGAGAAAGGTGTAAATCCTATTATGGTTTTGTCATCCAATGGTGAGTTATTGTCAAATCCTAATGGTGCACTAGGCAGACTCAGGGTGTACAAAAGAGATGTAATAGTACACATGAGAAGGTGTTGCAGATTGATTGTGTAGAACAGGGTGATAATGCCATAGTGGTGCTAATACAGACATTATTGATATAAATTTGTTTGGTATTGACATCATAATTGATGATGACATTGGGAATGACTCAAAGGATAGTGCAGAGGTAGCTGAGGGTGAGTATGTGGGTAAGGAATCTGAGGGTAGAGAGAAATCAAGTCAGAATCAGGCTAAAGAGAGTCAAATAGGAAGTCAGCATGAGGGTAATGATACACAACATGAGGAGGGGTTACAACATACTACTGAAACTGAGTCTGTATAAGGTAATGAGGCTGATGAGAGTGACATTGCACAAAATGAGAATTTTTGCTGATAAGGAGAGAACTTATAATGACTCATATAAGGACTTGAACTATATAGTTAGTGAAGAATATAGTAATACTGAAACTTTTGAGGATATTGTAGAGGAAAGTGATGACCAAAGTTGGTTGTATGAAGGCCTAGAGGGTCCCAATGATGACATATAAATTGAAACCCTTCGTGCCAATTTTATTTCACGCAAACATTTGGATTTAATTTTTCTTTTCTCATCTCTTCTCTAAATTTGATTTCACAGCAAACTTCTTAAATTATTTCTTTTTAGTTTTTTCATCCAATCACTATGAAAGGTTCATCAAAAACAAAGAGAGGAAAATCATTCACCATTGAAGAAGATATGGCAATTTGTAAATCTTGGTGTCACATTTCGGAAGACCCAATTGTTGGCAATTTGAAATCGTATCACTTTTGGGGAAGAATTTACGAAAATTATTGCTTGCTTCAAAATGATCAGTCCAGAACACAAGTGTCTATTCAATCTCGATGGGGTATAATCATGAAATGTTGTAACAAATTTCGGAGGTGTTTAGCGCAAGTTGAAAATCTTCACCCAAATTGGATTTCTCAAGTTGATATAGTAAGTTTTCATCTTCAGTTATTATGTTTAGTTTCTTATTCTGGTATCGTATAAAAATTAACTAATTAAAAACATTTTTAATTTTTTTTAAACAGATGTTTCAAGCAAAACTGTTATACCATTAAGATGAAAACAAACATTTTGCTTTTGAACATTGTTGGCCAATCTTGCAAGACAATATCAGGTGGCAAGATGTAACTCCTACGAATACAGTAAATTCAAGGATGCATACAGCGTTTACCCCTAATTTAGCCCCTGATTCCCCTATGGATAACTGCATTTCTCTTGAAGACAACAACAGTCCAAGTGTTGGTAACAATCCAACTGTTGGTGAGGGCAGTGTCTCTGCAAGGGGTAAAAGGCCTATGGGTGGGAAAGCTGCAAAAGAATTATTTCGGAGAAATCAAGTCGTTGAAACTGAAGTCCAAAAAATGAGCATACAATTGGAGACATTTAACCAACACGTTACTAAGAAATAAAAGAAAAAAAAGGAAAAAAAAGAAAAAAGGATTCAAACACTGCAGGAGATGAAAGAACTTGAGATGAAAAAACATGACTTTGAGATGAAAAAGGAAGAACACATAATAATGACTACGGACATTTCTCATTTGGGCTCTCAGATGAAAGCGTATTACACAATGCGGAAAAATGAGATTTTCGCCAAGTGGTCCTCAAATGTGAGCAACCTAAATTTTTATTTCCCATACCTCCTAATGAATAATTACGGTATAATGCATTTTTAAATTTTGGCAATGTCATTTAATTTTTGATGTAATTGTTAGTCTTTATTTGCAATGTAATTTTTATTTTGTAATGAAATTTCATGTTGTTTTTTTTTTTTATTTTTGAGTATTTTCTACTTCACAATGTAATGAAATTTTTCAATAAAGTATAATGCCAAAAAAAAAAATGTTTTTTCAAATAAAGGCAATAAAAAGATAAAATAAAAAGACATTAAATGAAGATAATTTTATTATATAATAAAAAGACATTAACTGATATTAAATAACATTAAAAAAATAAAATACAGACTTAATCTAACTCTCCAGCTCGGGACCACAAGTGTTCAATTAGATCATTACAAATTGCATTATGGGCTTCAGTAGATCTAATCCTCTGCCGATTTAACATAAATTGAGCATACTCCTCATTCGGATCGCGTGACACTTGACAATGGGTATTACTGGTATCAGTCAAGTTGTGCTGCACTGCATTCATTTTCTGGAATATCACGCTCGTCTTCAATGATCATATTGTGCAAAATAATGCACGTCTTCATGATGTAGTACAGATCCTCATCACTCCAACCTCTAGTTGAAACTCTGACAATATTAAATCGTGCTTGGAGCATTCCAAATGCCTTTTCGACATCCTTCTGACATGCCTCTTGCATCCTCGCAAATAGTTGTCTCTTTACGCCTTGAGGTTGAAATATTGTTTTCACAATCGTTGCCCAACAGGATTGATACCATCAACAAGATAATACCCCATGGTGTGCACATTATTATTGATGGTGTAGTTGGCAGCAGGGGCATGTCCTCTAGTTAATTCAGCAAATAAAGGCGACCTGTCAAGAATAGTAATATCATTTAGAGAGCCAGGCATGCCAAAGAAAGCATGCCAAATCCACAAGTCATAGGAGGCAACTACCTTGAGTACAATTGTTGGTTTGTGGTAGTGTCCAGTGTAAGCACCGGCTTGGGCAATTGGACCTTTATCCCAACGCCAATGCATACAATCCAAACTCCCTAACATTTCAGGAAACTCGCGTTGCTCTCCCTCTTATAATAATCTAGCGACATCTACTTCATTTGGGGATCTTAAGTAAATGACTTCATAGGTAGCAACAATTGATCTTGTAAAAAAATTCAAGGCGGCAATTGCAGTACTTTCATCGATTCTAATGTGCTCATCTATAGCATCAGCAGGCATGTCGTACTGCAGGATCCGAAGTGCTGCAGTCATCTTCTGTACACCGGATAATCCAGGAGCACCAGTGGCATCACGAGTTTGGATGAAGTACTCATTCACTTGTTGAATATCACGTAAGATACTAACAAACAATAATCGCCTCATTCGAAAATGTCTTTGGAAGTATTCTTCTGGATAGACAGAACTATCTGCAAAATAATCTCTATAAACTTGTTCGTCGCCTTTGACCCTCTTACGATTAATGTATCGACGACCACTTGTGGAACCAACACGTTTGGTTTGTTGGTTTAGGCTTAACGTCTGTATTCTTTGTTGTTACGCTGTGAACAGTTGCATCATGATGATATCATCATCAGATGATGAATATTCATCAAAATCTCCATTCAATATGGCTTTAGTCAAATTGTTCATTGTAGGTGGATGGGTGAGTGGGTGAATATGAAAATTGTAGAAAATCTTCTGGGTGGGTACAGAGAGTTCAGAAGATATGAAAATGATGGGTAGGTGAATATGAAAATTGTAGAAAACCTTGTGTTATATTTATAGAGAAAATTGTGGGTGGGTGAATGATGGATGGTTGTTGGGTGGGTGGATGAATAATGGGTGGTTGTTGGGTAGGTAGATGAATAATGGATGGTTGTGTGGTGGATTGGGTGGATAGTTGTTAGTGAATGAATGCTGGGTTAATAATGGATGGTTGTTGGTGAATGAATGATGGGTGAATGATGGATGATTGTTGGTGGGTAATTGGTGATTGTTTATTTTTTATGTGTAGTTAAAAAAATTTATTAAATATGTAATGATATGTTTTTTGGTGGGGTGAATTATATTTAATTTTTTTTCTAATTTTTTTTTATTTTTTTATATTTGTCTAGTTAAGAATAATATAAATATATAATTTTTTTTACAAATAGGTAAAAAAATGTCACAAAAGACAAAAAATAAACAAAAATAAAATCACAAAAAAATTTATATCCAAACAACACTTACAAACTTAGAGGGAAAGTCGGTTGAGATTTGCCAAAATATCAAATGACCATTGGAGCACCATTGCTATAATTTGGCAAAATAGCACTATTCATTGCCAAATTATAACAATTGCAATAGCATTATAGCAACAATGTTTGGAGATACTCTTAGTGGTTCACTTTTTGTGATGGACACTGTGTTCGATGATGTTCTTCATATCCTGTTGCTGTTTGCTTTTTTGGTTGTTTATTTATTTGTAGTGGATGATGTCAATGTTTTGTTTTGTTTGTTTATTGTCATTGTGTTTTCTCTTGAAGTGGGGTATGCACTGAAAAGGTGCAATTTCCTTCTTCAATTAACTGTATGTTTGTTGTCATTGCAAATTTGTCCTATGTGTTATGGTCCTAGTAGAATCAGGAATTGGTTTTTTTATTCTATTACTTTATGCTTGTCATATAGTGTAGGCATAAATGTATGTTTGCTTTTATAATCTCCTTTTGTTTTGTGTGATCTGTTTGAGGATTAGGAATTATTCAATTATTATTTTACTTTATGTTAGTTACATACATGAATATTTATTTGTTTAGGGTATTGAGTGGTGGTTCCAAAATGTTTTTTTTTTTTTTTAAAGGAATGCTGAAATTCATAAATGCTTTTATTTTATGTTGGTTGCATGCATGGCTATTTGTTTGTTTAGGGTTTAGGGTTGTGGTCCAACAAATGTATTTATGGAAACCTTTTATTCTTTAGGAGTGTATGCTGAAAATGTCTGACAATTTCATTATTGTTCAAGTGCACCATGGGGGCCATTTTGTCTTTTATCTATATGTTATTTATGAGGGTGATAGGGTGGATCAAATAATTAACCGTGACCCTAACAAAATGTCTATGTTTGAGTTAAGAGACCTTTATTATGACTTGGTTGGTAGAAAAGGAGCAAACATAGATATGTATTATACATGGCCTGGTTATAATTTAGATGTTAGGTTAAAAATAATTTACAGTGATGTTGATGTGATGAAAATGCTTGAGGCTTATAAGGGTTTGGATTATGTAGTAGTTTATGTAGAGAAGGGTGTAGATCCTATTATGGTTTTGTCATCTAATGGTGAGTTATTGTTAGATTCCAATGGTGCACAAGGGCATACTCAGGGTGTACAAGAGAGAGGTAATAGTACACATGAGAAGCTGTTGCAGATTGGTTGTGTAGAACAGGGTGGTAATGCCATATGTGTTGGTGACACATACATTATTGATATCAACTTGTTTGATATTGACATCATAATTGATGACATTAGGAATGACTCAGAAGATAGTGCATAGGTAGTTGAGGGTGAGCATATGGGTAAGGAATATGAGGATAAGGAGAATTCAAGTCAGAATCAGGCTAGGGAGAGTCAAATAGGAAGTTAACATGAGGGTAATGATGCACAACATAAGGATGGGTTACAACATACTACTGACACTGAGTGTGCAGAAGGTAATGAGGCTAATGAGAGTGACATTGCAGAGAGTGAGATTGATTTTTCAGCTGATGAAGAGAGAACTTATAGTAATGATTCTGAGGACTTGGACTATATAGTTAAGGAAGAAAATAGTAATACTGAAACTTCTGAGGATAGTGTAGAGGAAAGTGATGACCAAAGTTGGTTATATGAAGACCTAAAGGGTCCAAATGATGACATATTTGATGAAACCTCACACAAAAGAACAGAAGTACCACCACCTACAGCCAATCAAGCAGATGATGTTGGTTGGTATTCAAATCCTGATGATGATGATGATGAACTGATTAGTCTAAAAGTGTCACTAGATAAGGAAGATGAGGCAGATGACGGATACCCTGAACCCGCCCTTATAGGTTTAGCATCGTAACTAGCCAGTAATCCTTGGATTACCGAAGACCTCAGAACTGATTAGCAAAATTAAGGGGCTAGCGGAAGCAGATACATAAATATAGTTGTCCAATGAGCTGTGTAGACTTACATGAAACAGAATATTTAAAACATCATATACATAACCAAAAATCATTTTCTCATTATACCCACACACTTAGGTCTTGTTTGGTTTGTTTTTCAGAAAAATTTTTGGAAAAAATTCTCTACAAATAAATTTTCAAGAGTAATCAAACCAAACAAATTTTTCCAAAAAAAATCTCAAAATTTTGTTTGGTTACCTACTTTTCAAAATCACTCTCTCTCTCATACACATCAAATCAATCACTTTTTTTAAAACTTTCCCTAAAATAATTTTCCAAAGCTATTTCTTAAAAAAGGCAAACCAAACAAGTTTTCGTACTTTTTATCTCAAAAATTACTCTACAAAGACAAACCAAACACATCCTTAGCAAAACATCTCAAGTACAGCCAATAAAACAAAGAACCCTCATATACAGAAATAATAGAACTTTAACACATGACACTTCAGGAACCTCCAAGTGAGGCGCAATGGTTGGCTGACAGCAGGACACAAGTCCAGACAAAAGTCCTCAGGCTCGATCTCCAGAATGCTCACCTATACATATATATACACACAGTGAGCTGAAACCCAGTGAATAACATTAAGGTAAAGGGGTTAGTGAACGAAATCCGAACATGTCATAAGCATAAAACAGATTATAGCATAAACATTCTTGTATATGAACATAGTAATGGTACATCCCATAGAACACATCACATAACGTCTTCCGACTAGAGTAATCGGTTCTGGATACCGATTAAACACATATCACCACAATGAAGTGGCTAACGAGATCTCGTAATCACATGTATGTCATGGACTCGCATTTACATGTCATCCCCCATGACTTGGGACTATCTATGGATGCCATAATAGATTCACAAATAGGACATTCGTTCACATAAACAATATTATTTCAGAAATCATAACTTGACATATCACATTTGGAACATAATTCATATCAACATATCTTTACAGAAATGTTACTCACAGTGATTTTCACAAACGGTCAATCAATCTCCAGACGTTGACCTACAGACACAAAAGCACATAATACAAACATATCTTATCATTACACATGTACATGGCCAACACGGCTTAGCTTTCGATAAGTTGATTCTTGTTCATTCTTAGCACATTGCTTAAAACACACACTTACAAACTCTTAACTTAGTACCTTCCTTTCTTAGTGTGTTTCTAATCCATAACCTCATTATCATGGCTTAATTAAGTCTTAGGAATGCCTAAGATGTAATGAGGGTGCCAAAATGCATTGGAAAACACTTGGTAAAATTTCTAAAAATAAGGTCCCCGCTCGAGCGTAGATTTCCTCGCTCGAGCAGACATGCAAATATGAGAGGGTTCACTCGAGCGAGACTTCCTTTGCTCGAGCGGTCTGCAAACTTGGAGAAAGTATTGGTTGGTCTCAATCTACGCTCGAGTTACAACTTCCACGCTCGATCGGATCAACAGTATGCAAAGGGTTCGCTCGAGTGTCCAAGTGGTCACCCGAGCGGAGAGCTCATGCTTGTAAAAATACTGAGGGCACGCATTCCCCGCTCGAGCGCAAGTTTCCTCGCTCGAGTGGACTGCGAAATTCTAGGTTTCCAAAAATAGAGTTTTGAGCTTCAAAATGCAATTTTAACGGTTTCACTCATGCGTAGCTTGATCAAACACTTGGAAAACTTTTCTAAAACACAAATATATGGTCACATACAGACCCTTAGTTCAAAACTCAAGGATTTAGCTAAAATTGAGTTAAAACTCCCATGCATGTATGTTTCATAAGCTCTTTTCCTCAAAGTCCATATTCATAGAAAAATTGAGCTTCAAGACTTCAACATATATATAAAACTCTTTCTCAAAACATGATTTAAAAGGCACTAAGTGATGATTCAAACATGCATGAGCCAATTATCTATAATTTCTACATGAAGGATCAAAATCAAACTTGATATGGCAAAACCCAACATGCATGTAAATTTCTTTGCAAATTTCATCAAACATGGAATTTACTTACAAAACTTGATCTAATATGCATGCATGTTAATTCCATGGCCTAAACTCACCATGAATGACAAAACTTATGATCAAAATGATGATTTACTACTCACATAAGCATGCATGCATGAATTGCAACTCAAATCTTCATTCTAAGCTCAATATACACATTTAAACTCATAATCTTGAAGAAATCCTATGTTGGATGACTTAGA